TTTGACCACGAAGCCCAATGGTTGTTCAACATAGACTTCTTCTTCAAGATAGCCATTCAAGAATGCTGACTTGACATCTAGTTGATGGACCTTCCACTTCATTTGCGCCGCCAAAGAGATCAATAAACGAATCATCTCCATGCGGGCAAGAGGTGCATAGACTTCTTCATAGTCAATGCCTTGCCTTTGCTTGTAGCCTTTAGCCACAAGTCGTGCCTTGTATTTCTCCACATCTCCATCAACATTCTTCTTTATTTTGTATACCCATTTCACTCCAATTGCTCGATGACCCTTGGGAAGAGTTGTTAACTCCCAAGTGTTGTTCTTCTCTATTGACTCAATCTCCTCCTACATGGCTTGTCTCCACCTTTTGTTTGCAACAGCTTCATCAAAGTTCATTGGTTCACTGTCAGCAAAGAGACAACATAAAAAATCAAAATTAGTAACTTCTTCCGTGTCCTCATAGAGCTCTTGAATACTCCTTGTTCTTTGCGGTTGTTCATTTGAACTTTCTTGAGAAGAGGGAGATGCAACATTGGTTGGAGAAGGAGGTGGAGTTGTATCCTGCACAGGTTCCACGGTCTCTGGTTCTTCTTCATCACCAAAGTATGGAAGAAAGTCATATGAAGTTTCTTCCTGAGCTTCCCACACTACAAGAGAACATGCGATTAGCATCGGAATTTAGCGTGGGAATTTAGTTCCCTAGCTAATATACGCCTTTAGCTAGGGATGTAGCTAGAGAAGTCCAATTTCCTGGCAAAGTTTTCCGATTAAAAATTTAGTCACAAAATAGCTAGGAATTAGCTAGGGACCATTCCTTGCTAAACGATAGCTACAGACTTTTCCTAGCCAAATTTATAGCTAATCTTTAGCGGGAATTTTAATTTGGTGGTAAATATTTTTTTTTGGAAGATTGTAGTTTAGCTAGGGACATAGCAATGTACTAGCTAGGAAAGACCCCTTAGCTAATCTATAGCCAAATTTTAGAGGAAATTTTATTTTGGCGCTAATAATTTTGCTGAAAAATTATCTTGGCGCTAATAATTTGGCTGAAAAATTATCTTGGCGCTAATAGAATCAGTTGTATAGAGCTAAGACCCTAATTGCTAAATACACAAAAATAACGCCTAGGGTTTTGAAGAGCGCCTCCCCCAGGTCTTCTTCTTCGCATAGCAGCGCCATTTTTGATGTTGAGGCCCTCCCCATTCTGGCCGTCGCCCATTCCTCGTCGTTCTTCTTCGTTACCCTTCCCCCTCCAAAGACCAGCGGCGAGAAACCACGAACCCCTAGTGATATCTCTATCTTCCTCAACATTGACCTCCTTAGATCACATAGGCAGCCATTAGCAGCAGCCTCCATACCAGCAATCCAGACCTAAGCTTCAGCGACAGAGCAGACAAGCCCAATCTAGCGCCTCATTTCTGTCCATTAAACTCGCCGGAAACGAGCTACACCAGCCAACGACCGACACCCCTCCTCTGTCCAAAGAGTGGTTGTGTTTGATTGTGAGGGCGAATTTTCTATATGTGGTAAGTTTATTACTCTCTATATGTGAATTAGTATATCTTTTGTATTGTGAATTTTAGTCATTTAAAATCAAATATTCAATCCCGTTTTTGAATTGGACAGCAGTTACTATTTTGGGCACAACTTTTTCTCCAAAAATCGGATTGGTGTGATTCAAAAGGCTGTAAAAAGATAAGAGATATATCTACAATTGTTATAAAGACCAAGGTGTCCAGTTCTGTGATTTACTGCCGAAAGAATATGCTGCAATACAGCGCAGAGCTGCTGCCCAGATTTTCTCCTTAAGAATTGTGAATTGTGGAGACCCATTTGATTTGCATATTCCTCACCATATCCTTTGTATATTCTTCCCTCTCAGCTATAAAAAATCTTTTTTTGGTTTGTTGCTCAAAGGAAGGTTAGTATATATCGACCCTTCCTCTCTTTAGCTGTTTAAGTTGAAATGATCTCTAGTCTGTTATCTTCTGCTAACTATCCTTGCGTATGATGTATTGTTATTAGTTTATATTTGATTATCTCTGTTGTAACGTGTTGTTATTAGTTTATAATCTACCACTATGTTTTGGTACTGTCTTTCCTTAATAATATGAAAATAAACCAATGCTAATCAGTTGTCATGTGAACCCAACAAATGTTGCTTCAATTTGAATGATCTATGTGTGGTTAATAAAGAACCTTTAATGATTCTACACACCTATTTTGACCTTATACCGCACTCCCAGTAAGTTAAAAGCCTCTTTTTGAGAGACCTTTTGCATGTCGACATTCCATTCTTATTGTTCTTATACGGTTATGTGCCTAAATCAGTAGACATGTAGTTTTTTATTTTATAAGGCACATATATGTTATTGTATAGTTATTGTTCGTGTTCTGAAGGTTTCAAGAATTCATTATAGGCATTGGTTCTACACTTCCTATATACAAAATCAACAACATTGGCTCTTCTTCCACTACTACTTGTCATGATTGCAATTTGCTTGGAAGATTTGAATGTGATTTTTTTCCTTCAGTTTAGTTGAATTTTTTAATTTACAAAATTTGTATGAGTAATTATGTAACAGATTGCTTCCTTCTTGTTTGAATAATGTGTTTTGAACTCCCAATACTCTTTAGCAAAAACAAATATAGTATTAGAACATAATGAAGTGGCAATCGAAAATTTATAGTTCAAAAGACATAAATATGATAAGAGAACCTGTAGCATCATGAGAGTTTTGGGATGAAATGTAGACTTGATATTGGATTCAAATATCACAATGATATAAAGTGGGATGAAGAAGAAAACATACCTTTATGGCTTGCTGTTGAAATCAATGTATGCAATTTGTGATTTTTAATGTATGCTATATGACTTGTTTATTGTGTTGAATGACTAACTGTTGTATGATTAAGAGGATTGTGATATTCTTAGTAGCTAACTGTGTGTTTTCAAATACTCAACTTGCTGCCTCTGTTTTATCTAATTGTATTTTCATAATAGACTTAGGTGTTTGGAGCGTCAACACGCAAATGCAGAAACAGACAAGAGGATCTCTCTAGAAGTGGAGAAGAAGATGCACGAACAGTTTGCTAGTTTCTTGACCAGAATGCAACAACAACAGGTACTTGCTCCGCTCCTTCTTAACAATTCTTCTTCATTCTCGACATTTCTTCTTCTTTCCTTCTGTAGTGACTTCATGTTTAGGGGTTTAGTAAACTTCACAAAGATTTTTGATGTTCTATTTCAATGTAGCCAGAGGAAGCTGGAAGATAAATAAAAAGGAAAATTAGGAGTTTTAACCTTTCCAACATCATTTCTTCCCAAGTCAACCAGCATTATGTGCTCTGCACATTGTTTCTTGTCGTGCAAAAGTTGATTTTCCAACATATAATTGTAGAAAGCCTCTCTTCTTTTTGGTTGATTAGGGAATATCTTATGTGCATTTCACTGTTTTTCCAGCATTGTCAAGTTATTTAGCATTTCGTGCCTCCATCCCTATGAAATTGTAGTTTTCTTTACTATATGGTGTTACAATTCCAATGTCATTGTGCTCTATCCCATAAGCGCACGTGATTAAAGCATCAGACTATCCGCTATTTTTCGGAAGTTCAATAGAACTTTATCCCTGATGATATGATGTACTTTTAAGGTTTTGCACCTCTCAAGTATAAGAAGAGAGAAAAACAATGAGTAAAATTGGTAAGGTTAAGGAAAACTAATCCTAATTAAACTAGAATAAGAATAAAGCTAAGAAAACCTATCCTAACTACAATAGGAAAAAGAATTCTAGCAAGAATAGGATACCAACTAACAATCCTAGTTTGACTAGAACTACAAATATAATCCTACTAAAACAAGAATTAAATTACTAGAAAATAGGAAATAACAAATTCTAAAATTTAAGGAAAAGAAATCCTAATCTTGGATGGATTCTTGGCTTCTTGAATTTCATGGATTTTTAGCATTCTTGATCTTGCATCATGATACTAATTATATAAAGTTAATTGTGAAATCCAGGAAAACAAGCCTTCTAGAGATCGCTGGGTGGGGAAAGTTAATTTCGTTGAGATACGATCGTATTTGCCTATCTTTAGGAGCTTTGACAGAATGTGGAGCTTCTTCATATTGTGCTTACAGGTACTTTCTTCTTTTTGTGACCATGACTAGGTTGTCCATTATCTTTATGTACTTGACAAGTATAATTTGACAAGGTATTGTTGATTGTGTGTAGGCAATGATAATTATTGCTTGGAATGGTTCAGGAGAGCTGAGCATGGTTTTTACTTCAGATGTTTTCAAGAAAGTATTGAGTGTGTTTATAACAGCTGCAGTTTTGAAGCTCGGGCAAGGTTTGTAAAATTCATTTCTCTTTTCTGCAGCATAGCGAACTATATTATAATTGAAGCTCTTTCAAAGTTTGCTACCTTCTGTTCCATCTTGCTGCACTAATATTTTTCTACATGGTTGGTGCAATTTTTATGGATGATAAATTGGAAGTTTCCAGCAAGTGATTGGATATAAATGAAGGATTATTTTTCTTTGTACTATGAGCTACTAGCAATTTCTCCAGAAGGCCCACCCGGAGCGTGACCCGAAGATATCTTTCTGAAGGATGGCCAATTCTTGATGGTTTCACAGTTTATGATGGAATTACAGGGGCTGAAGACTGTTGATGGAGAGGACCCGCCAAGGATTTTGCATTTTAATCTGCGATTGAGGGGTGATTGGAGTGGGAAGCCCGTGATTGAACACAACACTTGTTATAGGATGCAGTGGGGGACAACACAAAGGTGTGATGGCTGGAGGTCCAAGGATAATGAGGAGACTGGTGAGAATAATGAATTTTGTTTGTTGGACTATCTTTTAAGTATTGTTTAGAAAATTCTATTATTCCTATGTTTTATTGAGTAATTGAAATTCAAAGTTTGTTCATTTTGTACTGGTTTATGTTAAAAATCAGTATTTCGGGCGCAGTGTAGGCTGGGGCTGGGGGAATAGGAGCTTGTGGTAATGCATCTGTTAAAAGCTTGACTATGATTTTATATTGTTGAAGGAGAAAGGGATTAACTGAGAATGCATTGTAGTTACATTTTTCTGTTGTATGGTGAAGTAGATTAATCTATAGGTGACATATGACTCTGAGCAATCAAAATCATCATGGTGGTTAAACCGGCTTATTACAGGGCGAACAAAGAAGGTGTCTATTGATTGGCCATTCCTATTTTCCGAGGATAAGTTATTTGTGCTAACTCTTAGTGTCGGCTTTGAGGGCTATCACATAAATGTTGATGGGAGGCATGTGACCTCGTTTCCATATCGAACTGTAAGTAATGTACTACCACATTCAATTTCATATAGGATTATTGAATCGGACTATTGTTAAGGTTCTCCTTTGTGCTGTTAGGGATTTGCTCTTGAGGATGCCACCGGTTTGTGGGTGAACGGTGACATTGATGTTGATTCAGTGTTTGCTGCCTCCTTGCCTGCTACACATCCTAATTTTGCTCCTCAGAGACATCTTGATATGTCAAACAGATGGAAGGCACCACCTCTCCTTGATCAGCCTGTATATATGTTCATTGGTATTCTTTCTGCTGGCAATCATTTTGCTGAGCGAATGGCTATAAGGAAGTCTTGGATGCAGCATCAGCTAATCAGATCTTCAAATGTTGTGGCTCGGTTCTTTGTTGCATTGGTAGGTTGACATATTGGTAGCTTATGGACCGTATTGCGAATATCTTTTGCTATTAACAGTGGCATTGGTTCTGTTAAAATGTTTAAACTTGGGATGGATTTTGGCAGCACGCAAGGAAGGAGGTAAATGTGGAGCTAAAGAAAGAAACAGAATTTTTATATGCGTGGAGCAAGGAGCAGTTACAAGACACTTAATATTTTTTCAGTTTTGAGATATGTATATGCGTACAATTACAATGCACAATGCACAATGCACATGTAATTGACTCTTTAGTAATGATAATATTTATAATATTCGGCTTGAGAAATTCTTTTGGTGTTTGTCAAGCATTATTGGTTGCTTTAATATTGATAGTTAATTGATATGTGGCCACTTTAGTCGCTACTAAATGACATTTATAGTGGCGATATAATCTTGCCACTGAACATATTATTTTTTGTGGCAATTTTAGTCCCTAAGGATAGTTATAGTGGCGACAATCTTGCCACTGAAAATAAATATTTTTTGTGGCAGGTGTAGTCGCCACTAAAGGATAGTTATTGTGGCAGGTTTAATATTTTTCTTGTAGTGGTTTGCTTGGAATTTAGCTACCACATGTCCTAGCTACTGACAGCTAGGGATTAGTTTCAAGCAAATATCCCTAGCTATATTAGCTACGGATAACATATTTTCCTAGCTAAAATTTAGCTAAGAGCATATTAGCTACGGAATTTAGCTAAGGTCATTTTCCTAGCTAAAGCGCAATTAGCTAGGAATCTTGGTAAGTTAGCTAGGATTTTGATTTCTAGGTAATGGCCTGTTCTCTTGTAGTGCCAATCCCATGCCAATTCTTCATCAAATTCAACATCACGACTTACCACCACCTTGTCGCTGCTTGGGTTGTATAACTTGTAGCCTTTTGAACTCATATCATAGCCAACAAACACATACTTGACACTTCGATCGTCAAGCTTCGCTCTCCCTTGATGTGGAACATGAGAATAGGCTATGCTCCCAAAGATTCTCAAGTGCTTGACACTTGGCTTTCTTCCACTCCATGCTTCTTGAGGGGTTTGATCTCTAACATTCCTTGTTGGAGACCTGTTGTTTAAATAAACTGCACAAGAAACAGCTTCGGCCCAAAATTCCTTAGGTATTTTTTTAGCTTTCAACATACATCTAGCCATATTAAGAATCGTTCGATTCTTTCTCTCTGCAACAC